TTTCTCAGGTTCAGTGTATACAATTATCGATATCTAACGACAAGGATAATAGAATAATAATACAACCGTCAAACTGTTCAGCTTCTGTCTTGGGACAAGTGTGATTCACTCCGTGCGTGAAAGTTGTAACCTATACGCGCAAAATCTGTGTAGAGAATTATCTCACATTAGAGAATTATCTCATTATTTGGAATTTTTTAAAGTTAAAAAGAATACAACCATATATCGTTGATGATAAGTGGCCATAGCGAACGGTGAAGTCTGATCCGTGGACGTTGTAAAGTCGAGCGCGGTTCGATTTGAAATACCCTCCAATACGCAGTGGCTGTGGCCCGATTGGCGGTTACCGGTGCAGGTTCGAAAGAGAAGGGAATGCGCAGAAGCACGTGGATTTGTTTAGACGACTGTCAAGCCCCTTTCGCAGCGCATTTACAAAGTCCGTGGGGTGCTTCCGGTAAGCCCCGTAGCTGGCGGCGCTTTCCCGACAAACGATACCGGGGGCCAACGGGGGCGACAAGATCCACTGTCTACCTCCCTTCTGCCTCTCATCCTTCCCGCTCAACCATCGGTGCCACCGTCCCTCCACCCTGAGCTCCCCCGCCCTCCCCCACCTCTCGCTCCTGGCCCGGCATGCGACGGAGTTACACCTCCGATGCCGGAGACAGAGACAGCGGCAGCGACAGGGGCAGGGGAGTGACGACGGCGACGATGCCCGGCGAAACGAGCGATGGAGGAGGGGAAGACATCAACGGCGGACAAGGCCGCCATATTGAATCACTCTCGTTAATTTTTGCGCAGAGGCGGTGTGAATTTTTTCTCCTTGCGCGGAAGGTAGCAGCCCAAGGTTGGTGTCTGGGACTCGCGTATGGTGACGATCGTTCTCGCGGTTACCACCGACATCCGCGTCATCCCCTGTCCATTTAACGGAGGCTCTCCTTCCCTCAGTCTGCGCGTACGTACGTATTTTTATGTTCTCTCGTGTTTGTGACAAACACGGAGCTGAAAGTCCGCAATTGAAAGTAAGCCGCAGGCGAAAGACATGGTAGAACGATGCACGGCTATGCCAGGCGAAAACGTATCACGGAAACGCGCGGAAATCGCGCGTGTATGATCGCGCGAGACGGTGAAGTGTGCTCGTGCATAGGGAGATACACTCGAGAGAAGTGAAGTGTATGCGTACACTGACTGCGGTATGTCGTGTGCGCCATGTCATTGTACGTAAGCGATAGTATAGAGCAATAATGTATCGTAGTGGAGTGGAGTGAAGTGGAGTGGAAAGCGATCGCCTTGCCTGCCTAACTGTCTACCTAACAGCGTGCCTGCCTGGCTTCCTCTTGGCAGCCTAGTCTTTGTTGGCCCCGGCTACCTGAACCCGTTTCATTGCTCGTCCATTTCTCTCTGCGAAAAATCGGCTGACTTCGCCACAAGGTCGATTTCACGAGTTAGGGCCAACATTTTCCATTGACCTCCTCTCTCTCAGGTACGTTGCTGCCTTCCTGAACGCGGGAGGCGTAGGCGTGTGTGGGGGTCAAAACACTCCGTGTGCATTCGGTTCCCTCGGAGAAGGTGCGATTATCAATGTAGTGGCAAATATGTTGTGCACGCGGAAACATAAAGAGTCGCGTGTCGCTGTTGCGCGAGCTAGCGTCACACGTCGCCAGTCAGCGTTTATGCATGCCTCTCGTTCGACACTTCGGCCTCCGGTATTTTCAATTGTACGCTTGATTAACGCCATGCTCGCCGACCATCTAAGCACAGGGATTCATCCCACGGGAAAAATCAAAACGAAATGCTGCAATCAAAGCGAAGAATATAACGTGCCTTTATCTAGGACAAACGAGCCTTTATTTGTATATCTGAAAGAAAGATTACAAAAGTAATTTCTAGAAACGTGTCGTTTCTCCAATTCCAAAAATTTTCATGAAAACTTGTAAATTCTTGGAATTATTCTGGTAGTTTTGGTTTCATTGATCACCGAACAATATTTTTCTATTATGAATTCTAACATATTTATTGATGATCAACAGATATCAGAATAACGCGGTCAGAATAAAAATGTAGAATATCTAATTGTTGCTGTTTTTTACGTTTACTACTTAAATCGTTCGCACGTGCTTGATCGTTTAGATGTAAGCGATAAGAGACAGTTTCTCAGCTCGAATAATACACTTCGTTTTTGAGTAATTTGCTCGAGGATGAGTCGGTTTGTTACAACGACGAAACACGCTTATTAGGTTAGGAAGCAGATCAAAAATTGTCGTAGGTCGGCTTCAGACTCGTCTATTATTTCAGGGACTTTACTACAGTGCATGCTTGGTTCACATCTGTTTAATTCATGGTTGAGAACAGCAATTGTAGAGACGGAGAATTTTTGTAATGATCTATGATTGGAAAGTTTTGAAAGACCATATACATATATATATATATATATATATATATATATATATATATATACGAGCAAAATCGTTATCTTATATTTGATTATATTTACATATGCTCAACACACACACACACAAAATCTATCTCTCTCTCTTTCTCTCTATCTATCTATCTATCTATCTATCTATCTATCTATCTATCTATCTATCTATCTATCTATATACATACATATACACATACACTACCCAATTTCTCTATTATTAAACGGCAAAGCCATGAAACGTGAATGAAAAAATGTGACATAAATTCAAGAGCTTAGAGATCCCCGTACTGTGTCACGTGATCTGGAAAGTGTATAAGGCGGGAGATCCGAGAGAAACTCCGTGAACTAGTTAATTCCTTCGCCATTAGGACGATCTAAGGTTATCTCGTGCGGGATAGCGACATTTTAAACCAGTCGCAAGAAGCCAATCCTCGGGATACATCAATCACGATTCGTTAGAATTCGGCATATCCACGCCAGAACTAATGCCAATGGAGGTAACGCGTACGTAGATAATGGAGTTGCCGTTGCCTAGAGGTCGCGCTCGGTTTCTTGATACAATAGTAATTACAGAGATGCGTGGACGATATGAAATACGTTGCAAAAACATTGCAAACTCCTTCTTTGCCTCCCCCCCCCTCCCCCTCTCCACCGCTCGCGAAAGGCTGGCAGTGGGGACTCCGTCGAAAAATCGATTTCCCGTAGGGCATAAGGGTGCGAGGGAGCAGCGGGGGAAAGGGAGAGAAGTACGGAGACGAAATTCGGGAAAATCCGCAGGGCGAGAGAACGAATAGGAGAAAGAGAAAGAGAGAGAGAGAGAGAGAGAGAGAGAGAGTGAGAGTGAGAGAGATAGAGGGACAAACGGACGTACGGACGTACGGACGTACTGATAGACAGACAGACGGAGAAAGAGAAAGAGAGGAGAGATCGTGTGAGAAAGAAGTGCGAGAGGAAAGGAGAAAGAGAGATTGGTTTCTAGCCCTGTGTCCCCCGATGCCGATGCTTGTGTGGGTGAGTGGCTGACTCGTGTGGTAGGGGGTAGAGAGACCGTCGCCGGGGGGTGAGAGGAGAAATAATTAATGTGCGACCGTACCTCTCCCCTCGCAGTACAGGGCACCCCTCCCCCCTCGCACTCCGTCCTCTCTCCCTCCCTCTCCCCCTTCCCCTCGGTCTTGTACCGCTACGCTTAGCTGCCATTGTGCCGAGACGCTACTTCCGAAGCATCAAATTCAATTCTTCGATTTTCGTGCCGCACCACCGGATTTCTCCTTCGTGGCGAGCATTCTGGCGAGAAGATCAAACGGGGGAGCATACACGCGGCTATCGTCGTAGTGCTACCGGGCGGCAGAGCAAAGCGCGCCAATATCCTCATTTTGTGTATGTACGAATCCCGAGCAACCGATATACACTACTCTCTTCCTTTGAACGTCTTTGAATACCACGGAGGGAGGTTAGGTTAGGACATTGCTTCCGTGGACATCGGCCGATGCGCCTTGCGACGAGTTACCACACACACGAATTATGGACCTTTTCATCGCGCGAATTTCACTATCGTGTGCGGTAGTTGATCGGTGGTGCTCCTTGTATTTCTACCTGTGATGTGATTGCGCCCTTTGCAAATCGAGACGCTGTGTCCGAAACACCTCGGAAGCGGACGAGCGGAGAGCACGATGCTCCTTCGGCGCACATGAAACAGAGATTTCGGTAACTCGAAATTTATTTTTGTTCCGCGGATCTGTAAGTCTTCCTCGTATTCGCTTTGAAATCGTTCGACATTGCGGAATTGGTTGTCTGTCTCGCCGCTCTCGCCAGGCTCTCCGCTTCTTCTTTTGTGGTATGCTTTCTTTCGCCCTTTTCCTTTTCCTTTTTCTTTTCCCTATTTCCTTTTCCTTTTCCTTTTCCCTATTTCCTTTTTTCTCCCCAGGTTTCTCGCAAACCCACGATGCGCTCGTGTCGTTGCAAATCGATTGAATCGAAAAGTGCAAAGCGAACTGACTGAGAAAAGTGATTTATAAATAAGCACCCGTGTATGTGTTTTTTTTTTTTACAGAGCTCCTGTATTTGAAAGAATGGAAGCCATGGACTTGGACGGGGATGCGGTTGTTGACTTGAGTGTTAGGTAAGTTGAATGGGACTTGCACATTTTTCCCTCTCTTTTTCTTACATTCTGTTGTTCATAATTTCATTATTACATTACATTAGGCACATGGTTCAGAATTATGTTAGTGTTAAGTTGCTATTGTCTATGTTTGTTATAATTGTAAAATGAGGTTACTGGTTGCAAAAATTAGATGTTAGAGGGTTATAAACATCCATAAGATAACCTAACTTTTAAAGAAAACAGATTCTTGTCAGTAATGTCAAGTTCTTACATGAAAGTGAATTGTTCTTTTCTCAATGATTCTTTACTATTCTAACCCTTTGTTTAATGTATACAGTTTTACATTGTTTCTACTACATTTTAGAATTTGTCATTGGTAATATCAGTTTTATTGTTATTGTGTGTTTTCAGCAGCAGTAGCAGGAGAAATTCTCCATCGATCACAGTTAATTCTGGTGATGTAGGAGTTCCATTAGATTTAGGTGTTCATTTTCCCTCGAATCCTAATGTGGACAACATGCCAGAAGCACGTAACATTCAGAATGCAGCAAGAGGCATTTTGGCTCCTAAGTCTGGGGATGATAGGAAAACACGTCGTAATCTTAGACCTAGAATTGAAATAAGTTATGCAGAAAGTCCTGATGAGCGTAGAATAAATGGTTATGTGAATGGAAATGCAGACAGTGATGAAGGTTAATTATAAAAATAGTATAATTATTTATAATTTAACTATTCAGTTTAGTTTCAATAGTTCGATACTTGATGTATTTGCTCTCATGCACAAATATATCTAATAACATTGAAAATTTCTAGGTGATATGCCTCCTTTGCCTCCGATAAAAGAATTATCATCAGACGAATTGGCAGAACGTGAAAGAACACTCAGAAAATTAAGGGAGGATCTTAGATATGAGGAAATGAAATTGGTATTATTGAAAAAATTACGGCAATCTCAACAACTGAAGGAAAACATTGCTTCTGTGCCCAAAGTTCCAAGTAAATTACCTCCTCCGGTTACAGTACAACCAGCCCCTCACAGGTAATATTCTAATTTAATTTCATTGTATAAATGTTACATAATAAAAAATATATTTACGTCCGATTATCGAAGTAACGTTCCTGTTTCCAGTCATAGGACAGGCAAGGCACCACCACCTTTGCTCAGAGGACAACCTGCACCTAGCAGAAGTAGTAGTTTACACGCACCACCACCTGGAATGTTATTACCACCCACAGTTGGACGGAGTTCTACTTCTAGTACTGGAATGCCACCCAACATGGTCATACCACAACCACCTCATCCTAGAGGTAGGCCACCTAGTGCAACGCCCAATGTATCAAATTATCACGCACCTGCAGATAGAACTGAGAGGTCTACAAAAGATCCAACACCCACTCCAGCACATCAAGTAAGTAAGGTACAAGATATCATTTATATATACTTATTTTATATATATATATATATATATATATATATATGCACTTTATATATTTATATCTATATAATATTCAATTATATATATATATTATTGAATACATATATTTGAATATTATTCAAAAGTATTGTACTTTACGTATATATAATATTTTACAAATATTTGTTTACATTATTTGTAAATTATGTAAATAACCATAATTGTGTTTTCGTAAACACAAAGCTGCTTGTTGGACCTCAAGAAAATAAAACCACAACATCCTTAAGCACACCTGTGATTTCAGAACAGGTATATCCATTAGTCAAAGTATATATTTAGTTTCTTGTCAATCTAATTCTTTATTAAATGCCGACTAAGTATCGATTTTCTTTTGTCTTCCTAACCATCATGTCATTTTTTGTTTCTATATTTAACTCACTTACACTTCCATTTTCCTTCCTGACTTTCTTTCTCTTTTTCTTCTCTTTTTGTTCTTGTATTTTTTTTGCAACATTAATATTTTATTTTATAGAGAACTCACAAACGAATTTATCGAAAACTTTCTTTCTTGTACATCTAATATCTATTTTTTGAAATCGCAGGAGAGACCAAGGGATGATAATCAGACACCGGCACAACGTCAGGCAGCTGCTAAATTGGCTTTAAGGAAACAACTTGAGAAGACGTTGTTACAAATACCGCCTCCAAAACCTCCACCACCGGAGATGCACTTTGTGCCAAATCCGTCTAATACGGAATTCATATACTTGGTGGGTCTGGAGCACGTAGTTGATTTTATCACTAAAGAACCCGCTATCCCACCCCCTCCGGAACCGTTTGAGTGCACTCAATGCAAAACGGATTTCACACCTGTGTGGAAATGGGAAAAACCTGTAACCGGCGGTAAAAAAGAAGGTCCACGAGGGCAGCATGCGACATTTCAAAGACCTCCGGCTGGTCGTGATCCTCGGGTCATATGTGAACATTGCGTTACGACCAATGTTAAAAAGGCTCTCAAAGCAGAACATACTAATCGGTATGTATAAAGTAAAAGTATCAGCAATATATTTTATTAAGACGACTAACATAACGATATACATATATTTAAAGGTTAAAGACAGCGTTTGTGAAAGCGCTACAGCAGGAACAAGAAATAGAGCAAAGGTTGGCCCAAGCAGCGTGTCCAAGTCCAGATCCACCAGCTCCTAAACCAGTTCCTAAAGCGGCTACTCCTACAAGAAGAGTAGCAACACCACCAGCCCCTCCACCACAAGTTCCACCGGCACCAACGCTAGCGCCAACCCCACCAGCACCCAAATTACAAGAACATCCTCTTGTCAAATTGGCAGAAAGTGGAAAATTCAGTCCGCATCATGCTGCTGCGGCTGCTTTACAGCAACAACTGCTCAGAGGTAATTTTCGAATGTTTTTCTGTTGAAAAATTCATATATCGCACAAGAAAAATATACGTAATCGATTGTAATCGAAACGTAATTTCAGAACTGGCAAAAAATCCAGTACCAGGTCTACCACCTCATCAACCTCTTCCAGCTCACATGATGCCACCATTTACATCTATATTATATCCTTATCAACTAGCAATGGCGCAGGCTGGTGGAAAAGGCCTGGCAGAATTACAACGACAAGCAGCAGATTTACAACGTCAATACTTGCTTGATATGATTCCGTCGCAAGCATCGCAGGCACAGGGTAACCAGGCTCCACCTCGAGCTCATCCGCATAATTGGAAGACGTAACCAGACGCATTTAAAAACCGACCAATGAATACAAATAAATGAAATTGCGAAAGTTGTGTTGAAGAATATCGAGAGGAAAAGATACTCATATTCTTTTGCCACATTGTACCGAATGAAGATTTCAATGGATTGTGAAAGTCGTATCTTCATGACATTTTTAGAATAATGTATCAATCCTGTAAGATTGATATCTTTATTTACAACGTGAAGCTCAAACTTGGAACAATGGGACAGACACTTATTGTGAAAATGAATGGATTTTAACTTTCATTTTGTGAATATACATAGACGTGTGAGTGAGTGAGTCTTGATTGTTACCCAGAGGGTTCGATGTTTTATCGTCTCGAACATCCTAAACTTTCATTTATAACATACGAATGATAATTTTCGTAATTTCCTTGGTGGTTTCAAAGAGAGAGAAAGTGAAATAATGACACACACAATTTATCCCAAACGCCAGAAAACGAACAGATTTTTTTGATTGGTTACTCTTTCAGGAAGGAGCAATATCTGTTTTCTTCTTTTCCGCATTACCCTATGTTGATATTAACAATACTACGAAGAAATAATAAATGAATGTCAATCAGTTGAACTACATAATAACGTGGACGCACATAATTGAATATAATTACTTCAATTATTACATCATATATATTATATATACATAAAGAACCAAGTGGACATTTATAAGGCACTAAGGACAGTAATAAGTGTTCGTGATCATAAAAAAGTTCGTTGATCCACGATAGTAGAGATAATCGGAAAGGGAGAGAATGAACGAATGAACGCGAGTGAGAAAGAGAAGGGTAAAGAATACGCATAAGCATGTAGTGTAAAGCAACAATGTTGGGAAAAAAAAGTGGAATCATTCATATATTATAGTTACGCCAACTTCTGTCGCTAGTTTGAATAATTTTTTTTTTTTTGACCATCGGCGGTACCTGTTTTATGTATATTTCTTTATTTCTTTTTTTTTTTTGTCTTTCAAACTGTGACTACTTTTAAGACAGTTATAATAATTGAGAAAGAGAAAGAACGAGAGCAAGAGCGAATGAGAGAGAAAATTGTAGACTACTGACGAGAGGAAATGGAAAAAAGAAGAAAAGAAACAAATGATCTTTATAAAAATGTACGTCACTGACATAGCAAAAAACGAATGTGGGTGTGATAGTAATGTTTTTTCGTTTTTTTTCTTTTTGTTTTTTATTGTCATTGCGAAAGGACAGAGAATGAGCATTCAGTATCTTAAAAAGAAAAAAAAAAAAAAATAGAGTGACACGAGTGTCATTCGCGCACAAGTCGTAAAAGAAACAATTTCATAATAAAATTTCTTCAGATTCATTTTAATGCAAGATGTATTTAAAAGAAAAAAAAGGAAAAAGTAAAAAAAAGGAGGCGTGAAATGAAAAAAATATATATATATGTATATGTATGAACACACACATACACACACATATACATAACACGCGTTAGCATGCAAACACACACATACACACACACACATATATGTATATATATAAAAGAAACAGAAGAAAGAAGGAAAAAAATTTTGTTAACAATGGTGTAAATTATTAATGATAGCGCGATTGATTTCATGTGTCACGTTGATGTAAAAATATTTAATGAATCTAAACAGGTTATATGTACCCGAAGTATTTCTTGAAGGAAAGCAGAGAAAAAGCGATGGCAGATCGCCGAGTTCTTATGAAATTCTCTCTTCTGAAGAAAAATCTTTATCTGCACTCTAAGGAAAGAAAAAGAAAGAAAGAACAAGTTTGGAAACAGAAAGAAAAAAAAAAAAAAAAGAAAAAAAAAGAAAAAAAAGGAACAAAATCTCTCCGGCACACATCCCAAGCAATACTTATTACCACCCCCACTTTTGAACAATCTGATTTTTCATTGATTACCGCCTAACCAATTGATCTTGGACACAATTTCCGAATCACTAAATATATAGTTAACTGTAGTCTTGATATTTCTCGGTATATGATACAAGTTAATAAACTAAAAATAGCATAATCAATCTCTCTTTGTACTACGTGATAGATTTTGAACTCATACTTGATATACATGTACACCGTAATAAGTCTATCGATCGCATAATAGATCAAAATCTGTGTTTTTTGTGTAAGAGAATCGAAGTAATGTCATCGTTGTCAATTGTCATTTTTGCCAGACCGCTACCGCTGTCATCCTCTTGATCGTAAAGAAAAGGAAAAAAGAAAAAAAAAAAAAAATATGAAAAAATGTAGAAACGAAAAAAAAAAAAGTGGACTTATTCATGTTTCATTGTCATGATCACTCGCGAAGAGGAGGGAGTGCATGGTCTTTTAACGCACAATATAACATACGATCGATCTATTTTAACTTAATTATGTGTTATCAATTACATGCGTATATATGTGTTCACTTTTTTTTTAATCTCACAAGTTTTATTATAGGCTTCAAAAAAAGAAGAAAAAAAGAAAAAAAAAATAGAGACTAGATCAGTGTCGTTAAATCTTACACGGATGACCCGATGAGATTTTGAATTTAGATTTTCAAATATTTCATTTAATTCTAGAATTAATTTTACTTTGGCTACGTATGCTATGTTTTGCGCAATAACGATCAACTTATTGCGTAGAATGTAGAATATAAATACCTTAAAATTTAGCGGTCCAGCGTGTGATCTAACTTGTGATCGATATTTACGTATCGAGATTTATTATTATATTTATTATTGCTAGTATCACGTTCATGCGTCTATTAGATATTTACTTTTCTTCGCCAGCCTCCCTTCCTTCGTGACATGTCTGTATTATTTGATTTGAAAAAAAGGAAAAAGAAACGTGAAGATGCGCGCGTAGCATCATTGCTCTCACGACTGCCAAAAATCGCGTGATTGATGACTCGATTGATGAATAAATTGATCGTCGATCGCGATTCTTCTGAGTGACGAACCTTACGTGAAAAAAAAAGAAATGGGAGAACGTTCAAAACAATTGCATTGCATTTTTTTCATACAGTAACGCAAGACGAATATTTGGGAAAAAAAAAAGAACGAAATGACGCAAACGAAAGAAATGGAAAAGAAAAAAACAAAAAAAGCAACTAATACGTTTCTTCCTTATCTTCCTTTCTAGTCTTGTCTTTCACCTCTGCATGGTGCTGATTTAAGAACTGAGAGCACTCCCAAGTGCAAAAGTATAATTTTATATTCTAGACACGAAAAGAAAAATAAAAAAAACAAAAAACAGAAAAAATGATGGAAAAAGAAAAGAAATTATACTGCAATGGCAGGGCGGTAGTGTGAAATACACGGAATAAGAAACAACAAACAAAGAGAACGAAACGAGTGCGAGTTTCGATCTGACACATAGGTGAAGCAATATAGAACTTCGAGCATCGCGGAATAATATTCTATATAAGGTATTTGGAAAAAAAGAAATAAAATGCTGTGTAAACGAAAACGAGGTCCGATATTTCGTGGGGATGCAGAAGATATGAAACAGTTTGGGAAAAAAAAAAAAAAAAAATGTGCGGAAACAAAAGGAAAAAAAAACAAAAACAAAAAATTGATAATGTACAAAAATGATTTTCTAAGCGCGCCATGGAAATTATTATGTCTAGGAACAGAAAAAAAAAAAAAAAAGAAATTCGTATTATTCTATCTTTAAGTCTGGCTACCTGACGAGAATCTCTGCCCCCTCCCCCACAATTTATAGGATTAGTAGTTTTAACAAAGAAACAAACAAACGAAAAAAAAAAAAAAAGTTTACCGAATACTCTGGAGACTACACGAATAAAGCTTATCAATGATTGTATCTCGAGTGATGATTTATTATTTGTACTCTCGAAAAATGTTGTCAGCTTTTAATGTTACATGTAAAGGGAAAAAAAAAGAAAAAAAAAAATAAGTGAAAACAAATCCGTCGAAAAGAAGAATTTTCACGAAGCAAGCGTTGTGTTATTTCCGTGTGCGTTGCCAAATTTTCGACCAGACATTTTGTAAATGTCGTTATAAATTTATCGAACTTGTCGTCCGTGTTGGTTGTTGTCTCGTCGCTCGCGTAAACTCGTACACCTTCTCAACAATCGTTAAGAGATATAGAAGCGACGGATTTAAAATGGCCTGCGATCGTTTAGCCTTTAGGAGGTACCATTAATTTTTTACTATGTTTTGTACATTGACCTATGAACGCTCAAGAATTTCGTCATTACAAACTCTGACATTCCTTTTGTTCTTATTATCTTTTCTTTTTATTGATTTTTTTTTCTTTTTCTTTTTCTGTGTACAGGGACCTCGTACGTTTTCTCATCGTCGAATTCTTTAGCTAACGAGGATCAATGTCGGATCAATATAACGGCCTCCCTTTTCCATTGTTTCTTCCCTCTGCCGACGAATCCTCTTTCTTTCTTTTTTTTTTTTTTTTTTTCCACAACGTCGTTTCAACGCGAATAACAACGAAAACGAAGCGAAGCTCAGGTACGATTTTATCGCGGCACATTTCCTCTCGTTTCTTGCGCTGCGTCCTAGTCGAACGAAATGTAACGTGGCAAAAAAAATTGAGACTCTCGAGGGACCAGTTTAGCGAGTTAAAAGATAAGCGCTATATTTAGAAACTCGGCGTAAAACTTTCAACTTATGCAAGATACATACGATACCGATTCGGTTAGCCGACGTGAAGTTCACTCCTTCTTCGCTATTCGTTTTCTACGAACTTCAATTCCTGTTCTTTTCTTCTTTTCTTTTTTTTTTTTTTTTTTCTTTGTTTTCTTGTTCCGTGAATATGTATCACGCGTACAAACGGTCACGGTTGTAGCATCCACGTAGGCAACGTATCGTCTCGTTTGTCATAATATTCTCTCTATTATTTTTAGTTCGAAGCTTGGACAGTATCGTTTGTGTAGAGTGGTTCGCGAAACTATTTACGAAACTGTTTTTTTTTTTTCATATTGAGTTGAACGCGACGCAAGAAACGAGGATTATGTCAATATATCGTTACAGGGAAACGGATGTTAATTTTGCTTTTTCTCGTTGAATTCGACCAGACATTTTTTAAAGTGCTTCGAGCAAAACGGATACAACGTCGGATGGTCGCAAGTTCGACAGGCCGCCGCGAGATGTGAACAGCACCGCAAGCTTTCACGGCAGCAGGATGCCCATAATTCAGGACCAGCCGCGGCGCAATTGTAGCAGTAACAGTCGCCTGGGGGAAAGAAACAGAAACGAAAAGAATTAACTTAAGATTTCTAGATGAAAATTTCTCAAATTTATTCTCAAACGAACGAATTGTACAAATATAGAGTATAAAATTGTCAGAAGAAATGGGGGGAAAATCCCGCGAGGCAGCTGACGTCGCTTACTTTCCACTTTTTTTTTAAATAACCCGACAACCAATTGGATACGTATGTTTTTTAACTTATAAAAATATTCATTAATTTTTGTCATGTAAATGACAGTTTCTGTCGCGAGGAGATACAATGAGTTTTCTACGATAATAAATATAGGACACTATTTTTCTGAAAATTATTACCGGTCTCCAGTAGCTCACGCCAGCACGCGTCTCGGTCTACTTATTTACGTGTTAGTTAATTTTTACACTCGCTGAATTTAGATAACTATATTGTCAAAAGTATCGGGCATATTTAGAGGCAGATATCTTTCAACAGTGATTGACTTGTCACAAGTTGCTTGCTGGACACAGATGATCGTTGTATAATAAAAATAACATTTCGGAACAGACCGATAGGCATCGATTATTTTTATTGCAATGCTACATCTTTTCTATGATCTTCTTTCAGAGAGTGATTTCTCGATTTAAGCCGTACTCTCTTACCTGTTCCTTCATCACGACTATACCGATCCATTGTGATTCCTCTACGCAACGTCTTACATCACAAGACACTCGACACCTTGCGTTAAATAAGCGTAATGCAACGAGGGGGAAAAGGAGAGACACAGAGGCAGAGCGTATCGCGTATCGTCCACATACACACCACACGTGCGTATTTTTCCTGCGGTATAATTCAACTTGCTACATCTTTCACAATCTTCGCGATATTCACTATCTTAATAAGTAAAATGAAATTATTTTTAATTCATAGAATAGGAGAAGGTCACTCAAGTCGAATATCTGTTATCTGGCTGTTGGAACATTTTTTTACGGCAACCAGTAAGTAATTCAAATGAATTAGAAGACCGAACAGGATACGCATGTATCGCGAGATAGTTGAAAATTTTGGCTATTATGCGTCAACGCAAATTTTAACGGGTATGTAGACACCGATAAGGATTCGATTAATTTTCCATTCTTAATTCAGTAAAAATTCTGTGCCAGGCTGATTTTAATTGAAATTGATTTAATTTAAATCAAGATTAAAACTGACTTGATCGATATTAATTCAACAGCAAGATCATCACGCAAAGATATTTCTCGCATCTCTCCCGCAAAAAACAGCGACATATAGAAAGAAAAGAGGTAAGAAGAAAAAAAAAAAGAAAAATAAATATTCCAAGAAATTCAGCAAGTCGTTAGTTTCTTCTTTGTTACATAAATTCCAGTCGAGATAATTAGTAGGTTTGGTCAGACTATGCGTGTAATGATAATCCAGTCGTTAAATCATTTGTTGCTCTGATTGTTGAACGGTGAAAGGAGGAACGCAAGATGACACGGATATTCAGCCGATACAAATGATCGCGAACGTTAGAGGCAGTTCCCTCTTGAAAAAGAATCGCAAGGACATGCGTGGTAAAAGTATACGTTTCTCTCGATTTTCTATTTCAAAACTGTCTGCCAGTTTTACGAAATTGGAATAATTCTAGGTACGATGAACGAGCGAATTGACCTGACATTCGTGTGAACTCGTCTGATTGCAGCACACTGTTTGTTATCGACGAATTGGGCAGGTGTTTTAATTAAGTAAAACGTCATATGATATTTTTGTGTATATGCATATATAGCTCTGACAGATTTGAATATTATGAATTTACAGAAATATCTACATTTCGGATGAAATTCTATGGAAATCATTCTGCAGAAAAAATTGTGTTGTTTAAAGGAGCTATATTATGTTACTATATATAGTTTTTTAATTAATCTCGCGTTAGATGCTGATTATTATAATTTCTATAAAACGATTGTCTCTGACAGATTTGAATATTATGAATTTACAGAAATATCTACATTTCGGATGAAATTCTATGGAAATCATTCTGCAGAAAAAAATTGTGTTATTTAAAGGAGCTATATTATGTTAATATACATAGTTTTTTAATTAATCTCGCGTTAGATGCTGATTATTATAATTTCTATAAAA